ATGGGCTGGGTATGCGGGGCTGGGTCGGCTCAGAGGTGCCGCTGGGTCCAGCCGGGGACCTGCTCCGGGCTCTGTGCACAGGAGGGTTCTAAGAATCCAAGAGGGTTTTTTTAATGTTTGGAAATACTGGAATACTAACTCTTCCCATCTTTTCTGGAAGAATTTCGGGGGCTTTCCAGATAGGAGTTTTGGGGAGTTTACTGAAAAGATGGGGTATTACCAGTAATGCATTATCTCTTTCTTTCGAAGTGCTAATCATATGCAGCGCTACAAAATCCTCTTCTTTTGAAGTTACCTAATTTTAAGAGAATTCCTTTGAATTTTCAGTCTAAAGCTCCTGGAACTTTTTATTACGCTTGTCTAATGGTTTCCAGAGGACTCATTTAGGAATGTTTGAACAGATTTGATTGCAGTCCTGCTCAAGGGACTTCATGAGTGTGCAGCCCATTGCTTGCTTTGACTATGTAATTTTCTCATTTAAAAAAGATGGCCAATCTGTACAATACAGAGAAAGAAAAAATAAAGTATAGAAGTGACTTTGCAGTTTTCACGTTATCTCCACTCATTGCCAGACAAACCAAGTTATAAGTGATGGAGTCTGTTAGATTGATTTGAATTTGGAAGTTTATTTTTGTCTCTTGAAGCATGTTTGTGAAGCAGCATACTCCAGCTGCTTGTATCTTGTATTGTTTTGGGTTTTTTTTGGCACTGGAATCAAGAGGTGCGATGGGAGATTGGAAATGTATCCTGTAGCAGAGGGAGTTGGCTGGGATGGGCTGTGAGGGACTGCGTTTGTCTGAATAGCAGAGAGCTCATGGTGTGACTGTGGTTCTTACATCACAGAGGTCAGGTGACTCAGTAAAAATTATGGTCAAGTTTCATTTCTTTCTTCTGAGTTGCTGAGGTTTCTCTCCAAGGCTGTGGTTTCCTAGTGACACCCAAGTCTGGAGGTGCCCATCTCTTGAGGGCTGGATTGGCTGTACCCAATGCTCCCATCCTTACCAGAGAGGAAGGAAAGTAGCAGCTAGGGTCAGGGCATCCCTTCTTCTTTTCTCTGCTGCTACCCCACAGTTACTCTGTATGTGGTTGTTGTTCTTACTCAGGAGCAGAGATAGGTAGAAACAGCTCATACCTAGTCCAAGAACCTGCTGTGATCTTTGCTAGTCCTCCAACCTAAATTTCTGCCTTTTTTTTATCCAAACCCTTCCATTTAAGCATCATCCTAACCAGTCTAGCTGTAGACCAGTGTCCAATTATGAGCTTCCTAATCACCTATCATCATGTACCCCATCTCCCTCACTCCCAGTACCAGGTCAGTCACCTGCAGCCTCCTGTTAACCCTGTCAGTCCCTTCTGGTTCTTATGGTGTTTTGGTCTTTTCTCTCTGCCCATCCTCACAGAACTCATATTTTCTTGGATATCATGCAAGGACAGAAGACCAGGGGTTTGAGCAAAGCAAGACAGTCCATTGAAGGGAGAAACAAAGTGAGGGTCAGTGAGATTTGCTCTAAAAGACTGCAAAAATCTTGCAGAGAAGGTTATGTTGCTATGTCCAGTAGTATTGACTTGTATTTTTGGTCAGCCTGAAAATGTGTTTAAACACTCCTTTGATGAAAAATGTGTTCATGGGGATTTGTAGAATCAGGATGAGATTCAGCTGCACATTAAGACATTTGGACGTCTAAACCTATTTGACTGAGACACTTACTTGTCTACATATGTCTGGGGTGGTTATGGTTCACTTATGGTCAATCTCATCAATGCCTGCAGTGAAGCCTGGAGATTAATTCAGCCCAAGCAGTCACCAAGAAGCTGATCAGCTCAATAGTTGTAGACTCTTAACCACACTGGCTAAATTGTCTTTGAGTATGAGTATTTGAGTATTTAGACACCTAAATAGTGTGTGTCTTATTCTGGAGCTGAATCCTTCTCTTAAGTAAGGCACAAGGCATTTGATGTACAAAGATCTCTTTTAAACTATGTTAACAGATTACAGAATGTATTTATTAATGCAGCATGTACTCTGTGGCATTCAATATGTACTTAACAGTTCTTCTTGTAATCCAGCCTTTTTTAGATCTACCTTTCCAGTTTTGCCACTACTCCTTGTTCTGTCTCCAGTGAATTCATCTAGTTGCGCAATGGAAAATAAAACAACTGAAATCCGTGTGAAGTATGAGAATATACTAATTCACGACATCAATGAGCTGGTAGGTAATAGGTCTTGGGCTTTCAAAAACCTGTTGATTAGTTTTAGATGATAGGTAATAATAACAACAACAACAACAATAATCATCATCATCATCATCATCATAGCTCTAGTGTTAATACACAAGAAAAGACCAATTTAAAATCAGACATTATCCTGGAACGGTGGCTTTATTGGAGGGGATGCAACAATTCAGACTATTTAGAATCTCTGAAGTCTGTGGAAGTTGCCTATTTTCATGTATAAATACCGTGATCTAGGTATTTCTGCCTGTGTATCTTGTAGTTAGACACCAGCTCCTTCAGAGCATTACGCTAGTGGTTTCTAGCCTTTCTCTGCCAAGACACACAAGTCCTCATCTGGAAACAAAATACTGTTAGGGTCAGGGAACAATCATTTAACATTCTGATCATGTTGCATTAGTTGAGATTGTGAAGAGAGAAAGGTACTTCTCTGTTGATAAATTACCTTATCCTGAGCAAGGCATTAAAGTTGGGGAAAATATTCATAGTCACATTCAAATAAATAAGTATTCCCTTTAGTTTGTTGTCTTATTTCTGACAAAGACAAGTATCTCCTAGAGAACAAATATAAACCCTCTTGGTGATCAGTAATAACATACCTGACCTTTAAGAGAAAATAATACGGCAGGAATAACAGTCTCTGGGAGGCAGATCCTGCTGTCTTCCTGTGGTGGAAAGCCATGAGGTGCATCCCAGCTCTGCTCAGGCTGCAGGATCAGGGAGGCTGGGGGGCTGTCACAGGCTGGAGTTAGCAATGCCTTGCCACTGCCCAATTGCAGGATAGAGCCTGATGTAGTCAGAGCCCCAGGATGGCATCAAGGATTTGAATGGAGCAATGCCATTCTTTCACATACATTTTGAAAGTATAATTTTTTTCTTTGTAATAAATATTATATGGTTTTGTTAAGACATAGTTTTTTTTAGGAGACTGTAAGAAAACTAAACCAGTTTTCAAAAGAAAGAAATAAATCCTTAATGTTTGTGAAAACTAATGGGAATGTACTGAACTCTGAAGCTTTTACTTTCTAGAACAGGCATGCACAAGCAACTACTGTGCAAGTTTCTTCATTTTTCTGTCTTTATTTTTTCCAGTTTAAGAGAGATTCATTTGTCTTCTATATGAAATCTGTGTATCATCTTGTCACTGTAAGTTAACAGCAAACATCATGGATGCTGTGTGGGCAATAGGAACTGCACTCTAGGCACTTCCCTGCAATTGCAGAGCCAAAGTCAATAGCTTTCAGTCCCTCAGCCTGATGTTTGGAGCCGTTATGGAGATGAGTAGTAGTACTAGATCTGTCTAAGTTAATTTAATTTTCACTAATGCCTTTTCTGAGGTCAGGATTTCCCTTAGGTTGGTTTAGTCACAGCTGATCAACTGCCTTCAGAAGTGCTTAGTGTATGTTATACTAAAGGTGGTCTCAGGAAGCCAGTGAGAATGGGTAAATCCTGTAGCAGTTAGCAAATGAAGCCACAGGGTGGTTGGTGCTGTGTGACTGCAGCAAAACTTTGTTCTGTTGTGCTGCAAGCAGAGATGTGCATTAGGTTCCAAATGGTGGTGGTTTGGTTTTTTGGGTTGGTTTTATTGTTTTGGTTTAGGGTGGGTTTTTTTGCCAGTGAATATTTGACTCCCTAAACTCTTGGTTTTGAAAACACTTCCTGGATGAAGTTCTACCTGTCTTGTGAAATACAATGTTACAGATAACCTGCAGAAAAACTGTAAGCATTAAGTTGTCTAATGTGTTCGTATACATGCCTAAGTGTGCCCGATATTGTCATGAGCTGGCTTGTTTAAAGCCCTTCTGGTTGCACTGGGTTATCTTGATACAGGCTAAAGAAGAAAATGAAGCTTCTGTTGAGTAGGGTTCCATTGTCATCTTGATGACAAGTGTGCAAGTAGTAACAGAAATACGGAGCTACTGGAGAGCGTCCAGCAAAGGACCATGAAGGGACTAGAGAATCTGTCTAATAAAGAAAGGCTGAGAGAGCTGGGACTGTTCAGCCTGGAGAAGTGAAGGCTTTGGGGGAATCTCATCGATATGTGTAATACCTGAAGGGAAAGGACAAAGAAGACACAGTCAGGCTCTTCTCAGTGGTGCCCAGTGGCAGGACCCAACGCAGAGAGCACACATTGGAACACAGAACGTTCCCTCTGAACATCAGGAAGCACTTTTTCATTGCGAGGGTGACTGAGCACTGGCACAGATTTCCAAGGGAATCTACATCCTTGGAGATACTCAAACCCCATCTGGATGTGATTCTGGGCAACTGGCTCTAGGGGCCCTGCCCAAGGAGTGGGATGAGACCAGATGAGCTCCTGAGGTCCCTTCCAGCCTTGACCATTTTGGGATTCGGTGAATACCATTAGATAGTGTAGCTGGAATTGGGTTCTATTTGTCTGCATGCTAAGGAAAAGCTCAGAATGGCACACTGACCCTGTTACATTGATCCCAAGAGCCTACAGAACAATTTAGTGTTGACATCGCTGGCTGTCAGGGCGAAACTTTGCTCACTTGATTAAAAGTACTGCCATGCCTAAACACATGTGATATTTTACAGGTAAATATGTCTGCAGAGCATCGTGACAGGTGCTGCAAGAATAAGAAACATGAAAATATCAAAGTATTTTTCTGCAATGATACTCAGGTAAAATTTGACTTCTCAGAATTTAGAGAATACAAACTCAAATGAGTTACTTGTATGGTCCAGTCCTTGAATAACATAGAGCGATAGAGTGTAATACTACCTTTTAATAGTCAAATCATGATATTCAGGGTTGTGCTTTTTTTTTTGAATCTGGAATCACACAATTTGTTAAGTAAACTGTTACTTTTAAAATTAAAATATTAAGCAATTCCATATCCAAGAAATGAGGGGTGATTTTTTTCTACTATAATGATTCTTCTAGATTTTTAATAAAAAGTAATACAGAAAACTTTATTTTGCCAAGGGAAATAAACATTAAAATTTCCCAACCTCTGTTTTTCTTTTTTCTTTTTCTACAGAAAAAATCATATTGGCTAAGCTTTTCACTTCAGGTCTAAAAGCTTTAAATAATAGTTTGGGCCAAAAGCACAATTGTCAGCTGTTGCCGCAGATTTTATCATGGCTTGGTAAAAGGACAGACTCCAAATATAATTCGCTGTTTTCCTAACTGTATCAAGTGATTTCATTATTGCTGTGATTTCTCCCTGACATCCTTATGCTATTATTATTATTACTACAAATTGCTACTTAAAATATTTTTGAGATGGCAGGTAGGTCAGATTAGTCATATGTTTTATTGGAAAAGATTGACACTATGAAAGCCAAAGATACTAATGGTAATTGATGGAGATTTTTTTTGTGGTTTTTTTTGTAAAGACAAACCAACATTGAAAAGATATAATGGTGCACAGACCTTTCAGGACATTTTTTTTCTTGCTCTCTCTACAGGAAATAGAATCACTACAGAGTATGGCATGCAACATGCTCAGATTCTTTCCTAAGCAGAGAATCAACAAAGCCTTTAGATCAAAGGCAGCATTCGTCTCATGTGGGACATTACAAGTTCTACAGTGCAAATGTGAAAGACATAGAAAGGAACGGGTGAGTGGTACTGATGTTGTTTAATTTAAGTGTTTGACTTATTTCTTAGAGCTGTTCAACACAGGCTATCACATTTACCTCTCGAAGGTATAACTATCATGCATGTTATGCACAAGATGAATTTTGCTGTGTGTGGCATATGTCTTGTAACGGATATTAAGCCCAGTGCAAAGACTGAGACAATAATCTGGAAGTTTGTGGTGAAGATATCTACTCTGGTTCTGTACTGAAACACCTGAGCTAATTCTCCTGTAGAAGACAAAGACCACATTTGTGTGAAAAAGGCCTTTAACTTCTCTAGAGTATAAAATCATAGCTGTTACTTTTCATTGGGTTCTACCCTAAGAATAATGTTTAATTTGGTTTGTTTCAACAAACAATTAGGGGGAGTTTCTCTCTTTTCCATAATCTCTTCCTTTGGTCTTTATTTTAACCACAGTATCTCAAATTCAACAAGAACATTAAGGTATGAAATTGTTTGGATTTTTAAACACTGGCAGGATCTTCTTTTTGATGTGTCTCTCAAATGTAGCACAATGATCTACAGACTACCATAGCAATGGAAAAGTGTTCTTTTAAGTGTGGCTCAGAGTTAACTATTGAACACAAAAATGTTGACCCACATCAAAAAGCCTCTGCATAGGCACCGAAGGATATCATTCTTAAATAGCTGGATGGAAGGCTGCATTTAACTCATTATTTTTTCTTCTTGAAATGGAGGAGAGACTCTTACAATCTGGGATCAGATATTCAAAGTAATGTTGATGTCTATATTTTGCTTAGTCTCCTGTGATGAATCCAAAGTTTGCCTTAACTTTAAAAGGTATCCCAGTGAAGTCATATAAGTCAGAGTGTCAACCTTGCAATTCTTGCCTAACCTTGTGGGTGCCTATTTTTATTTAAAGAGCAATTAAAATAATGTGGTAAAAAATTATGAGCAGTCATTGAGTATGAACAAGAATCACAGTAGTTCTGTCTGGTTGAGATCCTGAACACTAGGCCACAGCACCAGCCCCTGGAACAGGTCTGTCCTATTTCACTAGTCTCAATACATGCAAAGTTTGTCTCACAATTCAGTTGGCTTTATTTTCTCAGTCCTTCAGATAATGGAGGATAAATTTCAAGCTACTTCATAAAGTACATACATATTCTCAGTTGGACACACTGGGTTCATCTGTCCTTATTTGCTGTGTGTTAGAGCCACAGTCTCCTGGTCCCATGGGCAGGGGGGGCAGCAGAGCTGTGCTTGGAGTGAGAACATCAGAGTGATGCAGGCTGTGTACCACGACAGCATGCTGTGTGAGCAGCCCTGCTTTTGGGCTTACCATGTAGGGTATCTCCATTATTCATTGAGATGGAATGGAAACGGTTTGTTTTAAAAGATGTCTGTAAGAATAGAAGAAGCCTCTTCTTAGTTAACAAGGTAAATTATTCTTTTCAGTTTTGCCCACAGGTAAATATACAAAATAGAGAAGATACAGAAACAGCTGAACAGGCCAAAAAGAAATGTAACCAAGAACTTTGTGAACTGAAAGAAAATATATCTAGCCTTCGATCCTGCTGGAATAAATTTGAAAAAATGATTTCCAGGTGATTCCAGGTGAATCCTGTTCTTTTCTTTCAAAGTGGCATTACTTGGTATCTTTGCATTTTTATATGCATTCTTCAAGTAACCCTGCTCGCTTACATGAACAGTTTAAGCCAGAATTCTGATGGAAAGCTACTATACTTTGGTCCTTGAGATGGAATAACCAGAAATGGCTAAACCAAGCTGCTGCGGTGCAAGAAGTGGAAATAAAACACCAGTATTTGAAACAAAGAACTCTGCAGAAGGCTGTGTCCCACCTTTGTGCTCTGGAAACTACTCTGAATTTTCTGATTTTTCAATTAACTTTATAATACTGTTATATGAAAGCAATCTGCTTATGCATCTACTGCAATTTATAAAACCATCTTAGAAGGTGCAGGTGAAGACAACAATATGGAAAAGTAGCTGGTTTCTTAACACCTACGTAAAACACATCAAGAACCAAAAGGAACAATTTACCAAAGCAGCAACTAATCTTGGGTATGTTCTGCTGACACAAAAGTGTTTTCAGCATAGGATTTGAAAAAAACCCAGAAATTTGGAGAAACAGGGGGAAAGTTAAGGTTTTGAAAAACTTAGGAATAGCACTGATTTTTGAGAGGTGCAGCATGATTCTGCTGGCTGAAGTAGAGGCAAGACAGTGAATCCTATGGAAGGCAAAAAAGGAGATACCTGAATGTAAGTTTGTTCAGTTGACTGAAAACAGCACTAGCCTTATGTATTTGGTTAACCTAGAGTTAGCTGCAGGAGGAGGTGGAATTTATTAGCTTTGGATTTGTGATTTCTTACATGCAATTATTTTATATGATGTGTTTTAACATGTTAGACAAACATGACTCAAAGCGTGTGAATATTGTCAGAGAATAATATATTGGCATTTAACTAATAAAGTGTTCATATTTAATTTTGGATGAAAATAAGTATTTTTATAGTTGTTTGTAACTCTTTTACGGTTTCTTACTTTGATATTATAACTCCTTTGGTAATAAAATATTTGTCTTCTAAGGAATTGGGCTGTTCACTTTCTGACTATCATTACTGCTTTTTAGCCTTTTTTTTTTCCACAACTAGTCATTAAAAGCATAGCTAGAAATGTAACCTGCAGCTGCCAGGGACTTCCCAATACAAAAAACCTTTTTCTTAGCTACTTGTAAGCTGGCCAGTTCAGGTAAACTGAACTTGGACTAAATACTTTGGGAAATCTTTAGTTAATCGAGCCTGTTGTTTCCTGGCTCAGCATAAACCAACATATATTGTTTTGTCCGTGCTCAAAGAATTCTTCTGTGGAACTACTCTGAAAAAAATAAATTTGGTATTCATAATAAACACCTGAAAAAACAGTGGGATGTGCTTCAACAAACTGTACAGATCTCCTTTGACTGGAATAAGATCACTGTACTGTATCTGTGGAGGAAAAAGGAGCACAGCAAACATGTCATGCTTCCTTAGAATACACCCTCTCCAATCCATCTGTTTATGATGAACATGAGGCTGGAGTGATATCCTTGTAAAACTGTGATTGAGACTTTAACTCCAAACACTTAAAAAACCGACGTCCAGACCCAATCCATTAATCTTTTATGTAATAGGGAAGGGAAACATTTCCCAGAATCATACTGCAGAAAGGAGAATGTAATAACTATTTTAAGGACTTCTCTGGAAATTCCTTCTTCTGAAAGATGACTCGGGAGACTGAGGTTTCAATTTGTCTCAGACTGAAGAATAGTTGTTCTGATTTTTTTTGGAAATTCAGTATAAGATGAAAGCCAACATTTATTGCCTAATAACCACTTGGCAAGGAAAGGGTAGTGTGAATCAAACCAAAACCACACAGATGCAGTATTAGCTACTACAAAATGGATGTTCACTCAGCTTAAAAGACTCAAGCAGCAGCTCACACCTTAAATCATGAGGCAAATGAAGCAGTCTCAAAGACAAGGAAAGACCAAGAGTAGACCTAAAGCAGAAATTTGAGTGATTATGAAATTGTGGATTTTTTTTTCTGATTACTTCTCTTAATGTTTGCATGTAAAGGGTGACTCAGGAAATTTGGCAACAAGAATCAGACAGGCAGGAGATTCATTAACTGCTAAATGCAGTGACTTGTGCTCTTTGACTTGTTCATTTGAGAACCTCCTCTGCTTACTCTTGAAATCACAAACAAATGTGGCAATAAACTGCTTCGCAGGAATAGGCAAAGGGATGCAAACCTTGCATGGTGTTATCACCACCATGCCTACCTCCCTGCTACTTTCATTTATGTATTTGTTTATTTATTTGGCCACAATGAAAAAGTATGATGAGTAGGTCAAACCATGATTTAGAAATACCTGAAATTTATGGAAAGGTGTCAAGGGAAAGAAACAACTTAGGTAACTAAAAATATTAAAAAGAATTTTAGCATTGTTGTTGCAAGAGGTTCGAGACCATCTAAGGAACCTGAAGATGCACAAGTCCATGGGACCTGATGCGATGCATCTGTGGATTGTAAGGGAACTGGCAGAGGAAGCCTCTAAGTCACTATCCATCACATTTGAGAAGCTGTGGCAGTTCAGTTCCCACTGTCTATAAAAGGGTAAGCACAGCTCCCACTTTTCAGAAGGGAAATAAGAAAGACCTTGGGAATTACAGGTCAGTCAAGTCTTACCTCAGTGCCCAACAAGATCATGAAGCAGATCCTCCTGGATAGCATGCTAAGGCCCATGGAAAATGAGGAGGTGACTGGCTTCATTAAGGGCAAATTGTGCCTGACAAATCTCGTGGCATTCTATTACGACGGGGTTACAGCATTGGAACTAGATGGTCTTTTAGGTCCCTTCCAACCTAAACCATTCTATGATTCAGGTCTGGTGAACCTGAGATCAAAGACATCACAATATTTATAAGGTTGAAATTATATTGTGTATCTCTGTGCTATTTTATTTAAGACAATTTCACATTTGACTACAAAACTTTATGCATCACAAAACGTTTTATTGGCATATTTGCTTTACTGTTAATAAGTGGCAAATTAGCACTAGGTGGTGATATACATTTATTAATTAAAACAGGACACTTTAAAATAAACATAATATACCAAATAAGATGCAAACAAACGCAGGAATTCTGGCAAAAGAAAACCGCGCTGGGTGGTCACAAACACAAATATTCAATGTACTGAGGGGCAAGGCAAACATGATAAACGCAATGCTGACAAAAGTAATCACCCCAAACACATGAATGAACATGCCATTTAAAAACAGGGAACACCAATAAATAAACTTAAGAAGACAAACATATTAAGTATCATATGAAGGACGAAAAACAAGAATTAGAACAATCATATAAAGCAGGTTTTGTAACAGTCATAGCATACTCAGCACTTCACAGATCCCACCCAAATCCATTCATGGTTCTGCCAGGAAACAATATAGAAACACAGAACTATGGTAAACCATACACTACTATTTAGAACTTAGGTTCCATATTCAGCTATATTAAATGGAATATCTGATGACTCAAAATCTAATGTTCAAATTGGAGAAATATGATTTCCCTACTGATTACCTTTATAAAGAACAAACAGTAATTAAGAAAAAATGTGAATAAATTGTTTTCTGGCAAGATGAAGTGGAATGGGACTAAGTAGGATCCTTCAAAAATGTGGATTCTGGAATGATGTAACACCAAAAACCCAAATGGAAAACAAAACAAAAACCAAACTAGTTTGCAAAAGTAATCTCATACTGTGAATACTGGAATGAAAATATCAACTGAGTAACTACTGAATACAGTTAACAGAATTTTTTTACCTAACATTTCTTCCAATGATACAATTAGGTCACTCAAACCTTACTCAGCAAGCTGGAAAAAAACCATCCAAACCAACCAGCAACAAAACAATCACAAGTTGAAACGAGCTGTACTTGAAAGGCAATAAAACTACTTTCACCCATCACTAAAACCAATTTTACCAAAGATTAAAATTCTACCCTGTCATACAACTCATATAATATTCCTAGCTTAGTCAAACTGGATAGAATTAAAGTTGCAGAAAGTGCTCTTACAAAACAAATTTGTCAGCCAAGATAAAAAAAAAAAAAGAAGAATCATAGCAGGTTTGTTCTTTGCACATACACAAAATTATGTGATGGAAACTAGCACTTCTTGTGAACTTTGCAATACACAGACAATACCATTTAATTCTATATGCAGACTAATTACATAGCCTACATCAGTGTGCACTGACACATACCTTGTTTATTAGCATTTAAACTACTGCAGTCATAGCTCCCTCCACTGATTTGGTAAGCATCATGAAACTGCTCTCCTTGCATACTGCATTTCAGGCACCAACTCTCACTTGCGATGTGAATTAGGAGCTAGTCTCTTGCAGATGACAGAGAACTTCCAGGATGCCTAGGCTGCGTCAGGTCTTAAAACACACAATCTGGAGTTCCCATCCTGCGAACCCGCAGGACATGTGGCAGCACTCGAGCAGCCCCAGCACTGCGTGAGTCTCGGCACCAGAGCACCATGGAGAGCTCCCCCCTCCCCCTCTGGCCCGGGAACCCTCGCGTGGAGCTTTCCTATTTGCTCACTGGAGTTAAGGGCTCTTCGAGTCTCTGGTGAATTTGAAAAAATCTGCCTAAACATTAATTTCATAGTTACAACCTGAAATGGGGGTGAAGCACCTCCCCCTGCCCACGTCCCTGCAGTGGTGTGTAAGAGTGAAGCTATAATTACCCATTTAACCACATACTTAAGGTGTTGTATATTTATTTAGAGATTCCAGTTCTGAAACTACCTAGGGTGTATCATGCATAAATATAAACCCGTGTAAGATACATCATATAAAGATTACGCCTTATGCTATGTGGGTTTTACTACTGAAGCCAGTATTTTTCACAACTCCACTGCATTTCTATCAGCATAGTTCAGTGATCCTGCACTCCTCCCTGGCACAGAGAGGTCCAGAAAAATCACAAAAGCAAAATGGGAATGCAAACACCCCCAGGTCAGACCTC